CGAAGAGTACTGTGCTTGTATATGGAAGCAAAAAATTTTGCATACAATATTGCTAATTTAAGCGATATTGCGCTTAAATTTACACGAAATATGCCAAATCTAGCGTTAATTTTATGTGCGCTTTACGCAAAAATTTACGTGAATTTTTCAAACGGTGTAGGCTACTGAAATGGATCGAGTCGTACTTATCACGACGGACGCAAAAGCTAAGATTTGAAGGAAATCCGTCCACCATAGTTAATGTAACATCTGGTGTACCACAAGGTTCACATCTTGGTCCATTACTGTTTATTTTATTTTTCAACGATATAGAACATATTTTGAAATTTCTTCATGTTTCTATATATGCTGATGACATGAAACTTTTCATGGAGATATCTAAAAAGCACCTAATCTTCAAATATTTCAACATGAAATTGGCGTTTTTACACATGGTGTAAGAAAAATTTGTTTGAACTAAATGTTAATTAATGCAATTATATATCGTTCACAAGAAAGCACGCTGTAAAACACGACATAATTACTCTTGACCAGAAAACAATCCAAAGATCCTATCAAGTCAGAGACTCAGGTGTTATCCTCGACTCCAAGTTAACCTTTGTTGGTCACTACAATAACATAATCTACAAAGCAAGCAACATGCTCGGGTTAATTAAAAGATTTAGTTTGCACTTCAATGATCCCTACACAATCAAAACACTTTACGTAGCATAGGTGAGGCCTATTCTCGAATATAGTAGTATAAGTAGTTTGGGCTCCATGTAAACCGCATTGAATCAGTTCAAAATCAGTTCTTGTTGTTTGCTCTAAGAAAGTTGGGTTGGACGAGTTTTCCACTTCCATCTTATGAATCACGTTGCATGCTAATTAATTTAGATGAGCTCTCCACATCCATAAAATTGTCATCCACTAACCTCGAAAAGACCGCGAGTATTCGGTTGAATTTCTTTAACTTTAGATATAAGACATTAATAAGTATAACGGAAATGATAATTTGGTTCTGTAAAGTTTATTCGATTGATCCTGTACAAATAAAATAATCAACAAAAAAGTGTTAACTATCATTAAAACATCTAATACTTTTCTTAATCCGAAAAACAATATTGTATAGCGAGTGAGTGAAAACAACCCTTCCCCAGGGGAAGTCGTCAGTTTCTGGCTTGGACTAAAACCCATCAAGCAACACCTCAAATCACATGAGAATTTAAAAACAAACGCAATGGTGGTTACATCAAATAACCATGATCACATTAAATAGACACATCCGGACATGTTCCGGGTGCACCTTCGGTAGTTTGAAGTTCCTTTCATGGGCCAAAGCCTATCATAAGACACATGAAATCAATACATAAGTAGGGTCAGATCTTACCATAGGTGGATTAATTCAGGTTTTTTGAATACCTATTGTATAACCAAAATCGCAAAAACAAGCAGGTTATAGTTTTGCGTTTTTCTAATTGTTTGACACTTTGACAGTTTGTATGCACATGCTCAATTGGGCCACCTACATGTACCTACACGAAGTGCACAAACTTTACAGTCCACAGAAGAAGACTATCTCTGCAGTGATATTACGAGAGGACTTTATGGGAAAGTTGCTTTTATTATGAAGATCATAATCGTAAAGCTGTTTCTTAACGACATTTTTTTTCCTACATGAGGCTGTGACCGTAAGCGTTAAACATATACAAGCGAGTGTCACCGACTGTCTGACAGTGATTGGCTATATTATACGCAGGGCAAACGCTGGAGATCCATAATTATGTGGAGTAAACTGTTTATGAGATGAACTGGCGTTGACGACGACAACAACAACAACATCAACATCCATCCGCTACGACAGTGGTGATGAGGTTTGAAGGAAGACGATGCGATGATGAGTTTGCAGAAGGCCACCAGACTCATCATCATTTATCTCACTAGGGCACACAATGGATCAAAATAGTCTCCGATGATATTATCAAATGTTAACTGTATGTGTTTCGTGTTTGGAAACGATGAATGCTTCGTAATTCGGTAAGCTCTATAATATTGTTGTAAGGCCTTTTACACGCGAACCGAAGTACGCCCACGCAAACCAGTACAATTATCGGAAAGGGGAAAATTTCCCCCACCCGATGATGTTGTTGGTTTACGTGGGCGTTCTTCAGTTCGCGTGTAAGGGGCCTTACAACTTTTGTTTACAAAAGCTTTTGTGCCGTTATCACATGTTACGCCTGATTTGATCGTCGATTTGGCGTAACTGGTAGCTCGCCCACGCATGCTAACACTACCATCAATAGCGGAATTTTTTTGACCAACCTGCTAGTGGTGTTAGTAAGTGTGTGCGAGCTACCAGTTACGCCAAATCGACGATCAAATGCATTGTTTAAAAAAGCTGATACCTCCGTTTGAAAAAGTAATCGTGATTTACTGTTTTTGTCTACCAAAATTTAAACATTAATTTCGTTGTATTTTCTCACCAAAACACTTCGCTGAATATATTTAAACGATTCCTTTCAGCTTCAATTTGATTACATTTTGATGACTGAGAAAACCTGTTACGTACGGCTGATTGCTGGTTAACACGCAGTTTAAATTTTAAGGTTACCGAAGAAAAAGAGGCTGTCGACAATAGTCACACTCACCTGAAATGTTTGGAGCGTTGTAAAAAACATTTTCAATCCGTTTTGGAAAATTGTGCCGATTGGAATGGATAGAATAGCAACCAGCAGATAAATGTGAACAAACAAACACGTATGTGTGCGTGTTGCTGAGAAATTGCTAATAGAAGCGCGGATGCTGCTTAGATTGACAAAAATACGTAAACTCTCCTATATACAAACAGCTCAAATCTAAGCCGATTGAAGACCCCATGAAAAAGAATACGACATTCTTTCAAATGCCCATCATGTTCTGCAGTGTTTCTAAGAAAAATTCTAACAACCTCATTACGAATATGAAAATCTCAATGTTTGTTTGCTTTTCATTCAGCCAGGGTAGCGAAATTTTGTCATTGGCGTTGTTTTCAAAGATCAAAATTTCATGATTACCGGAGATTTGTCAATCATGCAATCAAGAAATATTGCTCATGCTCTCTACGCATGCTCACATTGCTTACCTGTCGTATTGTATAAGGCAAACCAAGTAGTATTGCAAGTTTTATCAAGGTTTTAAAGCATTCTAAAAGTCCAAATAATGGTCTACAGAACCTTCATAACACCCCAATTGTTACTTGAGAGTTGCCATCGTCAGGTTTGAATTGTTATAGGGTAAATGCTCCTATAGTTGCGCTACGTTAGAAGCGTTAGGTTCCTATAATTGTGTATTGAATCTCCATGCACAACTAATAGGAACCTAACGTTTCTAACGTACCGCAACTATAGGAGCGTTTCCCCTAACTAGCATCAACTCGATCATAAGTTGTGTGTTGTGATACGACGAGCTCAGCTCAGGACGTAAGATAAAGGGTGTGAAAATTTTCATAGTTCGCTATTGCTGGCGAATTATTTGCTGTTAAAGTGCATGAAATATTCACTATTGAACAATGCAACACCAAATGACGCATCGGAAAAACCCGGCCTTCTCGGATATGTTTTTAAAATGCAACTATTAAATTTTTCAAAAAAAATTTGCTCCGAAACGACACTTCTGATCAAAATTACGTCTGAGATAAATTTCTACTAGACATAGAAATAAGTTAATTTTGTTACAAAAAATGAACAACGAATTATCGGCTCCGTAAAGCTAACACGGTTGAGCCTTCCAAATAAACGAGCTAAAAAAAGAAATCCTGTGTTACCTGTGTTCAGAATGAACCACTGAGTATCTGGCACTGTAGAAAAGACGGTACCCTTATTGATGCATTGAGATTCTCAACACATATATTGCTTGCTAAGCTCCGCCCCAAACATGATTTTCCACTTTTTTTTTAGAGCGGGCTAGTCCTATCAAGCAATCTTTCTGTTTTTTACCATAACGGTTATTTGGTAAGGCTCAACTTCTTAATAAAACTTTACGGAGCCAAAAGTCTTTATATACAACTCTACAATTAAAATAAAACAAACACTATTCCGAAGTAGTATCGTAGGGGGGCCCGCGATGAATTCTTCTGATGTTTCCTGATTGGTGACTTACCATGTGCCATGCGAATGTGCTATTGGCAAATCAAATTTGGCACTCGTGGAGAATAGAAGAACTATGAAAGTGATGATGGTTTCAAAATTTTCCACGGGAAGGTATACGAATGCAATCTTAAAATGCTTTTATTTTTCAAATGGAGCATTTTATTTAAATCTGGTTTCTGCTATAGTGGTAGAAAAGCTGAAATCTATGTATACACTTAAAAATCAGAAAAGAAATTATATTTTCTATATTATATGTTTATTGAGTAGTCCTTATGTTTTCTACTAACGTAGCATTAACCAGATTTAAATAAAATGCTCCATTTGCAAAATAGAAGCATTTTAAGATTGTACTCGTATACCTCACCGTGTAAAATTTTGAAACCATCATCACTTTCATAGTTCTTCTATTCTCCACGAGTGCCAACTTTGATTTGCCAATTGTTATCGTAAGCTCTTCAATTCATTAAACCGTTGCTTCTTAATATTCTCCGTCCAATCTTCTTCCACACCAACCTCGTATAATTATCCCGATTCATTGAATATCGCTGGTTCATGTAACGGTACTGCTAGATGTACAAGCAAGTATATAATCTAAATCGTACACACTTAGATTTTTTCACCGAGATGGGCACCACCGAGCAACTCGGCATTTTATTTTGCTGGATCTCAGTGAAAAACTTGCCGATATTCAGCTAACAAACGGGAGTTTTGCCGAGATCTCAGCTAACACACATATTTTTTGCTGAATTTCCAGCAAAATAAAATGTCGAGCTGCTCGGTGGTGACCATCTCGGCAAAAAAATCTTAGTTTGTACGCAAACAAATTAACATAGCCTATTTACTTTGAAACAATAACGAATGTTCACTCCTCAACAGTTAAAAACCGAAATCTAATTATGAAAATAATGCATCTTTATTCACATTCAACTCACCGTGCAACTCAATAATCCGCATTCGATGTCCATCTATTCTTGGTACCTGTGCTGGGTCCACTCTTATCAGATTGATCCCGCAAAAACCGTAAGCCAGCCTCGATTGATGCCTCCAGGACATTTTTCGAAACCGGGGGTGCTCTACGTTGGTTTTGCTTTACCGTTGACGAGATCGGACCGTAATACTCGAACGTGGGAGGTGGAGGTATTTCCGCCCCGGTTCCCTCTCGTCTGTATGCCTCCTTCTCTTCGCCAGAGTCATCGCTCAATTCATTTCGTATTGGTACTGCTTTCTGCTGTGGTTTGGATCGTTTTTCCGACCCGGCATCGTCACACGATGCATCATAATTCCGTCGTTTAAATTCCTTCTTCGTCTTCTTGGTGGTGAAAAACAGCGTACGGTTGGTTTCTTCCGGGAGAACGATGTCGTTCTCCGTTCCCGGGATGGTAGGCATGCTGACATCCTCATCTTGTGCAGCTCCGGACAACGACGACAGCAAAAGTGGATTATTAGCCGTGCTATCTTCTCTGTCATAAAATCGATCACTAGGAAGCGGACCAATCTGTTTTTCCCCATCCGCATCAGAATCATCATGCTCGTTTTGCCCAGATCTGTCTTCAACGTAGCTTGGTTCCAGGGAAGGATTTTGCCACCCTCGTCCCACTTTCGATCTATAATCGACAGGTGGAGCAAACTCATCTATCCGTTCTTTTCGTTTCATCTCATTCCACTCCTCCTGAGACATAACGTGCCATTCTCTAGCTGGTTTCCACTCCATATCTTCGTCCTTGTGTTTCCCTGCGTCCCAAGGTCGAACGTGTTTTTGACGTTCGCGTTCCTTTTTGCGTTCTTCCTTCTCCCTTTTCTTCTGCGCCTTAGCCTCCGCCTTTAGCCGTTTCTTCTCCTCGCTCATATCGTACAGTGCATCTTCTTTAGCATCCGATTGCTGCGGTTCCTTTTGCGGCTCCGGCTCCTCCTTCTCCTCTTCCGGTGGCAACCCCAGTCGAGCCCGTTGCCGTGCTTTGGCCGCCTTCATCCGGTCGGCAATTATATTGTCGCGTGCTTTGCGCAAATCTTCCCGCTCCTGTTGGGCTTCCAAGGTTGCATCGCGAATCGAGTCTAGCTCGTGCTGTTGGCGGTTTCTTTCCTCACGGTCAGTCGAAAATGCATAGTAACCGACGCCATGCTGCCGAGCCTCTGGGGATGGAAAATTGGAAGAAAAATTGGGATAAGAAAGAGTTTGCTTACAGTCAACAAAAGAAGTAATTTAAAATATTGGGTACTGGCGAAACGGTTTTTATGATTAAGCGTTGATAGTATCTATGAATAAAATGTGACAGGATTCTGCTTTAACATCGTGAAAATAAAATTTTCTTCTGTACCAAAATGACAACATAATACAGTAAGATGGGTATTCCTCACCTTAACCATGTCAATTAGCTTCAAATTCAGACAATTTCTCCGAAATATGCCAGTATGGATTTCAAATGTACTCTTCATGATACTGGATCAAGAAGACTCTCAAATAAATTTCCCATTTTGAGAATCGCAGCAAAAAAGTACACCGTCAGCCCCTTCAATCCGCTTGCATAATATATTCAACAAAGTTTGCCCAATTCATTAATTTTCTCCCGTGTTCAGATGACCTGGTTCAAATTTTCAACACTATCGTCAACTATTTCTGAAGCTCTGTTTCCGGCAATGCGAACGAATACGAGAATATATCTACATATATCTGAATGTGTACGTACCTACATATATGTCATACTCCCTGTCTCTTTGTATACTGATTAAATACGATTTTTCACTACCTAAAACTGGGAACGATGAAATGTAACTTTGTAAAGAGCACATTCTGTTAGATGTCTGGATAGTTGGAAGTTTAAAGTTTCAATAACATTTCTCTTAGATACACTATGTAATACACCACTTTGTCCTTCTTTCAAAATTTGCTCGTTCTTTTCTCACACCAATCTATGTGACTTTAATTTTTTTTTCGGTATTGATGAAATTCTATTCATCCACTGTCAAAAAGAAAGAAATCAAAATGTAACGCCGGTGGTGTAGTGGTAAGCGTGATTACCTCTCACACCAGAAACCCTGGGGTCAATCCCAGTCGGCGCCGCCGGGATGTTCTGAGGCATAACATCTCTGATCGCGTAGTAAAGCCGTTAATTCCCTGGTTCATGAGTTGATAGGTCGATATGTAGGATCCAGGTGTGGGAGCTGCCTCTCTGGCGTTGGTAGCGTTTAGTGCTCAGCACGAAAAACAAGACCGATAAAAAACAAATCAAGGAAAAATAAAATAAAAATGAAATGTAACATTTTTTATGAATCCACGAAAATAGGAAACCTAGTTAAAAGAATACGTCCTGCCTCTTGTTCAACGTTGTGCTATAACATGTGGGCATTAGACTGATGCAAAATTTTACATTTTCGCTTTTTTTAGATAGATATGAACAAAAACATAAGTTTTTCCATAGTAATTCCCATATAAACTTGAAATGGTTTGTGCCAAGTCAGTTTCTTACTAAAGTAGTTCAAATTTTGGGAGGCTAAGCAGGACCTAATTTGGAACCGTTTAAGCACTGTGGAGAGAAAATTTCGAATTTTGCATCAGTCTAGTGGGCATGATCTTCAATAAATCTGGTAGTCTTTTCATGTCCATAGCATAGATTAACATTACTGGTTAGTTAGGTTACAGCTTTGAATTCAGAATTGCTTCAGTATCACGAAAAAATATGAATTCAAATCAATTTTCATACTAGTAAAAATACAAGCGATGAAAAAAAAACAGTTTTTGACATACTCCGGAACATCCCCGGTCGCTATTGGCTACTACATATATGGAGTGGAAACCCCACATATTCGGAACATCTCCGGTCGCCACTGACTACTACAAATTTTCAAATGAAAACTGCTATAAATTTCCCGTCTAATACATTCGGTTTCATCAAAATTGGTTTATTTTTTGAAAATGTGAAGCCATTTGAATTTTGACAAAATTTTGCCTGTCCCGACCATTTTGTCTATCCCCTGTATATATATACAAAAAAATTAGGTTGGTTTCGATTTCCGGTTCTCCGGTTTTCCCGGTTTTCCCGGTTGAGTTGCCACCCTGCAAATGTCTAGGTCAATGAGTTGAAAAAAATATTACAATATAAGTTATTTTGTCAAAACCAATTCGTCAGTTAACGTTACCGCCTGGTCGCAACTATTCTACACGCACAAAAAAAAACCCGTTCCATTATTCGTGAATAAAAAATCATGATTTCGTGAAGTGCTAGTTCATCTGAATTCATGGCTTTGTTCCCGTAAACGTGATCACTTATTTCGGGTTTTCAAGAATGTAGTCGCAAATACATGAACATAGTTCACATATGTCAACCAACCAACCAAAAAAATCGCAACGCTATATAAAATTTAAAATGAAATCATGATTTCGTGAACCATGAACTCATAAGCGTGATTTTGTTCTTGCTACCATGAACTTTGATCACGAGCAGAGCTACAGTATAGTCGCTCATTGACTTCGTTTTTGTAGCTTTTGAACTAAAGTATCGTACAAAACGCATAATTGACTTGTTACCTCTGAAACAATGGATTTATTTGATGTTTACTGCTCGATAGGCCCAAAATGGGAGATTATGCCAAAGTAGTGCTCTACCCTATATTGAATAAATGCTGTAAAACAGTGAACAATGCTGAATAAAACGGGTTGCCGAATTATGTGCTGAAAAAGGCTTATTGAGATCGATAGATGCAACTTCGTTCCACAGTTTGCTCTGATCTGATTAATGTACCGTGCCGATGCAAATTTCGGACACTTAAACTCGAATTTCGGACACTTTTAAAAGTTGATTATCTCGGTCGAATATGATCCACATGTCTTGTAAATTTTAAATTTTTTTGACTAGTGCCCTCCACGATCATCTAACATTATTACTTTGTTTCTAACTGGATGTAATATTTAATTAAAAATGAAAGTGTCCGAAATTTGAATCGTCCGAAATTTGAATCGGAACGGTACTTATTAAAAGCTTTATAAATGTTGACTGTCTTCCCGACTCAACACCGAAGTTTAATCTAATAACAAACTGAATGAGTGTAATTTGCACATACATCGACGCTTTAATTCGACACTTTTCAATTGATTTAATAGCATGCTTTATTATTTGTTTAATAAATATTTTCTAGCTACATTATTAGATTTAATAGCATTGCTTTACAATATTGCTGAATAAAGGTGGATACAGTCAGCAAAATAGGTCTTATCCCACTATGCGTCCATGTTGTAATCGCAACCACAACACTGGTTCAGTCCAACAACAAGACGAAATCAGTAGTATAGTGGTTACCGTTTCCGCTTTCCAAGTAGAAGGTCGCGAGTTCAATCCCAAGCTCAACCCTTTTTTCATTTGTTTTCTTCGCCTAATTAATTTAAATCGTAATCATTGATCACATCACTCACGACAATGAATTCACTGATTTAGTTTAAAAAATAACCCGGCATCCTTTCCTTGGAAATTGGAGAGGTGAAGTGGTAAAATTGGTCTAATGTAAAACAACGATGAATGAATTAACCATTCCCACTGGAACTTGAAGAAGATATAGCTATAGAATTGCTATCGGGAGTGCTGATAGGTATTCTGTTTCAAGCAAGTTTTTATTGATTCTATAGCTGCCCATATGCTGTATTCTGGGTAGCTCAGATGACAAGGCAAGCGGCTAGTGATCGGAAGGTGTACATGGTTCAAATCCCATGCAACGACCTGCACGGTGCTTCGCGAAAACCCATTAATGGGTATAAAAATACCCACATTCGCTAAAAGTGCCCCTCCTCATTTAATGGGTAAACTATGGTTTACTCATTGATGGGTAAATGATAGGTCTGTCAATAAATGGGTGTTTTTTACCCATTTTCTTAAATTGTGTTTACTGTAAAATGGGTAAAAATACATTTTTTTCAAATCGAGGATGCAGGTTATTTGTCCTCATTATTTCGCAGGATTTCGAGGCTTATTTGTCCTCGTTGATATAAAAAACTTTCTAATACATTGAAAATAAATGATCAAATTTTATAACACAAAATATTATAATACCATATTGGATAAAATTGTATTGACTTATAAGTAAGTCTCTCCTACGTTTCGGATTCTAACCTTTTCGGGAGATTGTCAATTTTTGCTAAAAAAAAAGCTGCGGACAGTAACTGTTTGCATTCCCAATGAGTCGGTGACGGAAAAGAGACGATAAAATTTCGAAGTTTTTTTTCACCTATTAGTGGGTAAAAAATATACCCATTATGCAACCGTGAACTGATTCTTTAAATGGGTATTTTTTCACCCATTTTATGATTTCAAAATTTCCCCATTTTTTGACAGCTGCATACATGGTTTGAAAATGGGTATTTTTTTACCCATTAATGGGTTTTCACGAAACACCTTGAGTATGCATGTACGAAATTTTCTAATATATGTGTAAAACAATCACTTAAGAAACAACCAATCCTGTCTCCCATCGTTCCCTTATTTTTCGGGTAAGTTTTTCGTTTAATAAATGTATGATAGTGTCTTCAGCATCGCTATTTAAGGAAGCAACGATGTCTAATAAACGCCGAATAATCAATCATTTTATCGAATAAGCTCTTGTTACAACTCATACATACATACATTTATTTGTACAACATCACATTTAAGATAAGACATAATCAACAATAGTACGCCACAATACTTAGTTTGCGGCTGCCGCTCTCCATCCTCGGTCACGCCCAATGCTCGCTAGATCACGCTCTACCTGGTCCGCCCATCGTGCTCTCTGCGCTCCACGCCTTCTTGTGCCAACCGGATCAGTAGCGAACACCAACTTAGCAGGGTTGTTGTCCGGCATTCTTGCAACATACCCTGCCCACCGCATCTTTCCGGTTTTGGTCACCTTCTGGATGCTGGGTTCGCCGTAGAGTGCAGCGAGCTCGTGGTTCATTCTTCTCCTGCACACCGCCGAAGATCGTCCTTAGCACACGTCGCTCGAAAACTCCGAGTGCTTGCAGGTCTTCCTCGAGCATAGTCTATGTCTCGTGTTCATAGAGGACCACCGGTCTTATTAGCGTTATGTACATGGTACGTTTGGTGAATACGGTTGTGGGGGTGAATCTTTTTTGACCGTAGTTTCTTCTGGAGCCCGTAGTAGGCACGACT